TATATATATATAATTTTAAATATTTACCTTTTTTATTTTTATATTAAGAGTTTTTTATCTTCTTTTTGTTTTCAAAGTAGATTTGCTTAAAGCATTCCTATTATAAACCAGAAGAAAGTAAGGTTGTGAAAATCGGATCGGACTTGAACTAGTAGAAGAAGAGGTTCAATGTTCAAAGGTTAAACAGGAGCTGAACTGGAGGTTCGATCGATGATCTAGTAAATCATAAATGTATTTTAATATGAAAATACATAAGAGTTACATCTCATTCAATTCATATATATTTAAATAACTTACACTTAAAAATTTTCAATTTTAACATATGACATTTTATCTGTGCATGAAACATGTGTTTCACTTTTTTAGAAATTAAAATAGTAAAATGTTTTATGTGATATAGATAATTTTGGTGGTATAAATTTAGAATAAAAAGAGTTTAGGTAGTTTGATATGTAAATAATTACAATTGATATGTAAATTGAATTTCTTTGTAATAATGATTTTTTTAATGTGATATAAGTGGTTTGGGCGGTATAAATGCACAAAATAGTTTAGGTATTAGATATGTAAAATACATAAAATTAGATGATATGCATGTAAATGCCCGTGAACCGAACGGTTCCTTAGGACCGGAGCCGGTTCATGGGTTGAACCCCGGGTTCTGGGCGGTTCTATATGGGAGGGGTTTTTTTATACAAACTAGAACAGGACCTATGGCTGATTCACAATCGAACCGACCGGTCTGGTCCGGTCCGTTTTACTAAACCATGGAAGAAATGATGTAATTTGAGCTTAAAGCATATAAATAATTATGATAAGAAAAAGCAATATTGGGGGGTGGGGGGTGGGGGGTGGTTATAGTATCCTCTAGACCCAACGTGACAGATGCTATGATAACGAAGGGCAAAATAAAGGGCAAATGGCCAATGTAAATTCCTAGATCCACCCCTATCATTTGGGTTAATATCGTGATACTACTAAAAAGATGAATTTTTGCTTCACTTATTTAAAGGTGTTTTCAAAAAACAATGCTGCAAATATTTAAAAAAACACATAAAAAAGCATAGGAGTTGGATGATATGTATGTAAATCTTCCTTTAACTTTTGAAAATAGAAATAACTATAAATGAATAACAATTATAGAGAAGGATTAACACCATATTGAGGATATTGCTCAAATAAAACCTTCTAAAATTTCTATAAAAACTTCTATCATATATATATAAAGAAAACAATCATGCTAGTTAAAAGAGATTGCCCTTAAATACTTTAAAACCCCATCCAAAATATTCATGCATACCTTATAAAACCACAAAAATTTTATGAGCAATTAACTAGGGGTGTTAACGAGCCGAACACGAGCAACCCATGGGCTCAGCTCGTGTTCGGTGCGTTTATATTTTGAGCTCAAAAAGTGTGTTCGTGTTCGGCTCGTTTGCTTAGCAAGCCAAACATGAACCGTTCACGAACAAAGAATCGTTTTGATAACCCTAATCACGTAGTCATAAGATGTTAAGGATTGAGACAATATTTAAAACATCATTTGAATCTAATTTAATAGTTTTTATTCAATTTTCTTAATTAATACTTTTAATTGATTATAAATCTTTGTAGCCTTATAATCAATTAAATTTTTTAAAAATACTACTCATCAAAGATATATATATA